TCACGTTGTTCTCCACGTGGCGCCAAATTAACAGAATGTGTAGATGAATGTTCTAATTTGTCGGAAAATCTAACATTATTTGCCTATATAAATAGTTAGAATGTGCCCTAAAAATCTGAACCTTTTGAAAATTATCGAACTTACGCTTAATATTCCATAAATTTCTTTTAAATGTGTAACTCGGTCTTCGTTCGCAAATTTTTTCTTAATTGCATACCCAAGCTCAATAACGGTTCCATTTGTTCGAACCATTGTTTGAAATTCTGGCGAATCCCTCTGAGGGCATAAATTCACTATAATAGGTAATATACGACCTAAATAAACATGCAATAGATTAGCATTTTACGGTAATAATTTAAAGCTCAAAAAACACTTACAAATATTTCGAAGGAAATTCATAATTCGAACTCTATCTGACAAACGCCCTAAATCGAATTCTGCAATTCGTTCAGAACAAATATTCTGTTTTCTCTTCTTATTTTCAGGCTTATACAAAGCGACAAATGTAATTTGAACACCAATAGCGTAGTATGCAAGGATGTACGGTGCATCTCCATAAGTCCAATCTTTGATTTTGTCAATTAATTCACTTGAAGGATCTCCTGCTTCTTCCCGGGACTTTTCTGCACCTCTAAAAGGACAAACGTTTCTCACTAATACAACCATGTCTGGGCGATTGCGACCTATGAATTTGTTGTTAATACATGTCATACTGATCAATCTCTACAACATACTTTACCTGTTGAGGTTCGTTTACTCGTATTACGATCGAATTCCAATGTTGGTAAACTAGCACTATGCATTCCAAATGTTTCTATCGTATTTTTAATAACACAATCCCACAAACAATGATACGAGTCTTCAGTTTTTCCATATGAAGGAGGGTAAATTAACGGTGCTATAAGTCTTGAATAAAGTGATGTACATTCCGCTTCTGTACTTAGTATAAAATATGTATCCCGTTCTTCTTCAGTTATGCCACCCAGACTGGTGTTAAATTGGGAAAAATGAATAGGAGCAAGCGGTATTTTTACTGGAGGATTTTCGTTAAGGAAATTTTTCAAGTCATATTTATGAGGAAGTTGATCAGGACTTTGAATTAATTTCTTTATTATTTCAACGGTAATATCTTTTGGCGCTACTAATATGGAGGGAGCTACTAATATGAAGAAGATAATACACATAAGTTGGTTATTTTTTTCGCGTTTGATAGTAGTAAAGAAAAAATAATAAAGGGATAGATAGTTATTTCCATGTTTCTTAAGAATATAATGCTTCAGTGAGTAGGATTAAATAAATTAACAAACCTTGAAGCTTTTGCTCTATGCAATAAGAATAAGCGTATAAGGCAAGTTAATAAATGAAATTATTGCGGAGAAAGCAGTATAGGTTTGGAATATGAGTCAGAGACTCGACACTTTGTGTCTTCGAATGCAGTCGTGGTACTACTTACCCTGGTCCTCGCCCTTTATTTTTTTGACTAAATCCGAAATTGTTTTTGCTGGTCCGTACGCCAAATCGAACCTTCCATCCTTCTGAGTAAGCGTTTCTAATGTTAAGGAAAGGAAGTTTGAACCGGAGACTCCATTTTTTTTGATAATATTGATGTCGTCGTCGTAAAGGTCCAACTTGTCTTTATTATTTTGTAAAAAATTAATGATGTCAGGTCGTTTCCATTTCTGCTGAACTTCCTCGGCTGACGGAAGGGTAATATCTTCAGACATGATTATCGTTATTTATTTTTGAAAAGTGGTACTACTTGTAAGTTGCGCAGGTTCTCCCTTTTATAGTTTATAGTCGTACAGTACAACAGATCACGTATTGTTACACGGATATAATGACAATACTGTATAGTTATTGCAATATATTTTAGTATTTTTTCCGTAGTTTAAAGAAATAAATTAAATCGAAATTTTAATAAATCACAAAATCGGGTTACAGTTCCTGCATGCAGAATTTTTATTCGAATTTTTTGATTGTTATTCAAGCGTATGAAAAAAAAAACTATTTATTCTTGAAGGGGTGTGACATCAATGTCACAGTAAGGTTATACGAATTATTCGAGGATATAATAGATGAATCAGGAACTTGAAACCGTTATGAAATAATGAAGCTTTCACTTCTCGCTTCTTTCCTTAGAAAATTTTCACATTCACATCGCTTATATATTCCCTCTGCTACTTTTTTGCATGTTTTGCAATATAGGTGTGAATGGTGATTGCATTCGTCACAAACCTTACACCCATGCTTCCAACCCCCAAAGATATGCCACTT